AAAAAAAAAAAAAAAAAAAACCTTCTCAGAAGGCAGCGGCAACAGCCAGGGCTACACAGTAGAGAGACCCTGCGTCAGAACGAGGAAACAATAAAAACCTTTGAAGCCATCTCTAGGCTGCTGTCCCCTTAGGCGCCGTAAGTGGACATTTTGGGGTGAATGCGAAGATTCAGGTGAGGATGGGACTCTCACAGACCTGTTGACAGTGTACACTCCTCTGGGCAGCGCACGAAAGTACCCATTGTCTGACCTCAGCCTGCCCTGCCCTTCAGTGGACCAGGATGTTAGGTGTCTTCCTATCTGTTCATAGTATTGGCTCCTAACGTTGGTGGCCCACTGTCCTCAAGAGTAATCACCTTCTACACGAGATCCTTTGAAGCTAAGGCTCAAGGTTAACATCCTCAGATGTGTGTGGTGCTGTGGGCATGCAGCATGGATTGGTATATCAGGGCAGACTTCCTGGAGGAGGAAGTGTCTATCTCGTAAGATTCTAGTTGGAATGAATGGGTGGGTTTTGATTTTATCTTTTTTTTTTTTCTTTGTCTTCCTAGAATAAGAATGGAACAGTTGATGTCCATAACCCAGGAGGAGACAGAGAACCTGAGGCAACGTGAGATCGCCTGTGAGTTGTGGGGTGGGAACAATGAGAGTGCTTGTGGACAGTGCTTGTGGGTAGACTGTTCCTCTCAGTCTCATGTGGAGGGTACTGAGTGTCCACCCTGAGGAAGGGCAGCCAGGTCTGTTGTGGCGCTCAGGCTCTGGGGTCAGGCAAGCTTGGATTCTGAGTCTCGAGTTTCCTTGTCTGTAGAATGGGGGGAATCTACAGTTACCTGCCTGCCACACAGGACTGTCGGGGATCCAATGGGGTCATTCCTGAACATGTCACAAAGCTGCTCTGGCTTCTGCTGTTGAGAGCCGGGGTCAGCCTCACGTGGCCACTCTTGCCCTTCCCAATGTGCCCCGTTGGCCCTGGGTTCCACATGGTCAGCGCTGATGTGACTTGATCGAGACCAGCACTGAGAACTTGCAGCCACGTGCCAGGGAAGGCCTCGGAGGCAGTGCCTGTCCTTAGCTGAAATGGAGATTGGCTCACCCCATCTTTGAGGCCTTTGTCGTGGAGGGGCTTTCTGTGTGCCAGCTCACCACACACGTGCTCACCACACCTACAGAGGGGACAGCTCACGGCCAGCTCTGTTCAAGGTCACTGTCACCATCTGTTACAGAACAGCTGTGGAAATCACCAGATGTTTATTAAGTTAATTTCACAGAGCTGGGACCAGCGTCCAGTGCTTTTGTTTTCAGCCTTTCAAACCTCCCAGTTGCTGTTGCTTTGATTGAACCCAGGGCCTAGCACACGCTAGGCAAGCACACTAGCACTGAGCCACCCTGCCCCTCACGACTTTTATAACTTAGAAAAAAAAAAATCAACAAGGAAACAGGAGAGCTGGCTCGGTGGTTAGAAGCATAGGCTGCCCTTCCAAAGGACCTGGATTTGAATTCCAGCACTTCGTGGTGGCTCACGACCATCTGTAACTCCAGCCCAGGGGATCCAGTGCCCCCTTCTGGTCTCCACAGGCACCGCATGCACGTGGTGCACAGTCACACACGCAGAACAGCCATACACATAATTTTTTGTATTTTAAAGAATTCAACAAAAAATAACAAAGGGGGAGTGCTATTTTGGGTTTTTCAAGACAGGGTTTCTCTTTGTAACAGGCCTGGCTGTCCTGGAACTCGCTCTGTAGACCAGGCCTTAAACTCACATAGATCTGCCCACCTGCCTCTGCTTCCTGATTGCTGGGACTAAAGGTGTGCGCCACCAGCACCCAGCAATACAGATTTTTTTTTTTTTTTTTTTTTTTTTGGTTTTTCGAGACAGGGTTTTTCTGTGTAGCTTTGCACCTTTCCTGGAACTCACTCTGTAGACCACACTGGCCTTGAACTCACAGAGATCCGCCTGCCTCTGCCTCCCGAGTGCTGGGATTAAAGACGTGAGCCACCACCGCCTGGCTAGATACTTTTAAGGCTGGGTGCTGGTGCTCATCTGCAGACAGAGAACTCAGGATGCGGAGGCAGGAGGATTGGGAGTCCAAGGCCAGTCTGGCTGTTTAGCAAAACTGTCAAGGGAGGAAGGAAGGAAGGAGGAAGGGACTTTGTTAAGAATGACTGTCCAGCAGTGAGCAGGGAGCCCCTGGGCCTGTCCTCAGCAGGGAGCCCCAAGAGCAGCCACCTTTTCTCAGCAGCTCACCGCTGTCTCTCCACAGCCGCCATGCAGCAGATGCTGACTGAGAGCTGTAAGAGCCGCCTCATCCAGATGGCCTATGAGTCTCAGAGGCAGAGCCTGGTCCAGCAGGCCTGTTCCAGGTAAGGTAAGGAAGAGCGTGTGTTCCCGGGTGAGGGCTCCGAGAGAGTCAGCTGGGGGTCCAAGAGTGGAGCGAAAGCTGAGCCCTGACTCCCCAGGCCATCCCAGCCGCGGCAGTGTTACCAGGACAGAGGTGGCCGACCTCTGGGCTTCCCCATCTAGACTCATCATGAGTCAGGGTTAGGCAGCGATGAGTGAAGGCAGCCGTCTACCTCTGGCCCATTCTGAGTGTCGGGGGCTGGCCTGTGTGTGGAGACGGAACTGTTAGCCATCCCCTGTACATCAAAGCTGAGCTTCTGGGGGCACAGTCAAAACAAAACAACAATTCAAGTCTTGGCCGGGCATGGTGGCACACGTTTGTTAGGTAGAGCAGGAAGATCATGGGTAAATTACCTAGTGAATTCAGCACCCATTTGAGCTACATGAGACCCTGTCCACACGCGCGCGCGCACACACATACACATGCACACCACACACACACACACACACACACACACACACACACACACGGCTAGAGAGTTGGCTCAGCTGTTCAAAGCGCTGGCTGTACTTGTAGAGGACCAGAGTTCAGTTTGCAACACCCGCATGGTGGCTCCAGTCCTGAGGGACCTGGTGTCCTTCTAGTCTCTGTGGGCACTGCACACATGTGGTGTATTTCTATATATGCAGGCAAACCCTCATAAAAATAAGTCTTTTTTGAAAACACCAAAACAGTTTTAAAGTTAATGTGAAGGAAACTCGAAGCGGACGTCTTGATGCTTGGGAAGCCTGAGGCTGCAGGTTCTGTGCCGGTCACCAGCCTTGTAGTCTGAACACGGTACAGCCAGTGCAGAAATGCTGCGAGGACCATTCCAGAAGCCGAGCGGCTCACCAGGACATCAAGAGGTGGTTGGGCCGGAGCTAGGCATCCACTTCAGGGGTGTTGTGAAAGAGATCCAGTGGAGGACCTGGGTGGTTCTCTGCCAGCTCGGAGCTCTACCCGCTCCTTGATGTCCGTGAGACTGCACACTGCCCTCTGTAGTGTGCAGAGTGATTGTTTATCTCGGTCTCCCCCAAGGTGCCCAGCACACAGTAGGTGCTCAGGAAATACTCAGTGTGTAACTGCTGTTTTTCTGGCAGCATGGCGGAAATGGACAAGCGGTTCCAGCAGATTCTGTCATGGCAGCAGATGGATCAGAGCAAGGCCATCAGCCAGATCCTTCAGGAGGTGAGCCCTTGCCAGGGGCCTGACTGCAACCTCGGGTGGGACCCGGGGACCTTGGGAGCCTGAGCCTCCAGGCACAGCCCTCTGGTCCCTGACTCTAGAGAAGCTCCCCTTGCCTCTCCCACCCTGAGCAGGGAGCTCCACCTAAGGACTTTTAGTTCCCAGAGGTGGCTGGCGTCCTGCTCAGGAAGCCCGGGCAGGGCCTCCTCTTTCCACACACTCGCCTTCCCCTGTAGCTGAAGCTCAGACAGGGCCACACAGAACCTGATGGATCAAGCAAGGGCCCCTCTGTGGTCCTGAAGCCTTTTCCCTGAAGCGGGCCCTGATCTGCCCTGCGCTTGTCACGGCCTGTCCCTTTGTCTTTGTGTCGTCCCAGCCCTGCGTAGCCATCTTGTCCACTTCTCTTCCCAGCTCCGCTTTTCCCAAACGCGCATGATTTACCGTCTGTGGGACTTGCTGCTGGGGACCCTGGTCCTCAGGAGGGCACCTGCCTCTAGTTACGGAGACGCTGGGCATCTGGGTAGACTTGGCACCTGTCACAAGCAGGTCCTCATCTGTGAAATGGGCAGCAGAAACAGGCATGCCAACATCTGTTGTAGGAATCCAGTGTTCAGGGCTGGCCATGTGGCTCGGTGGGTAGACAGATTCCCTAGCATGCCTGAAGACCAAGGTTCCATCCCCAGCACCTCAGGAAACGGTGTGGTGGCATACACCTGTAGTCCTGTCATGAGGGGGGCGGGGTGAATACAGGAGGATCAGAAGTTCAAGCTCATCCTCAGCTACATAGGGAGTTGAAGTTTGAGACCAGCTTAGGGTACAGAAGACCACCTCACCTCAAAAAAATAAAGAGTCTGGGTGTAGTGGTGCACCCCTTTAATTCCAGCACTGAGGAGGCAGAGTGGGGCGGATCTCTGTGAGTTAGTGGCCTGCCTGGACTACAGAGTGAGTTCCAGGACAGCCAGGGAGACAGAGACCCTGTCTCAAAAATTTAAAAAAATAAATAAATAAGTAAAACAGAAAAAAAAGAAAGAAAGAAGTTGAGTGCATAGTGTGGGACGTGGAAAGCATGGTGCCAGCCCTTAATTAGCATAGGGAATGATGTTTAATACAGGTATGTCAACCTTCCTTATGTTCACCCCCATTTCCCTCTTGTTCCCCTTACCCCTTCCACTGGATCTCTTCCCCTTGCAGTAGTCCCCTCTGTTCTCATGTCTTTCCATCATAAATGCATATGTGAACTATATATATTAAATCTAGAGTCCACACATAAGAGCAAACCCTGATATTTATCTTTCACTTAACATGGTGATCTCCAGGTCTTCCTACAGACAACACAGTTTCGTTCTCCTTTATAGCTGCATAAGACACTGCATGTGCGTGTGTACATCACACTGTCGTGTGTGTGTGTGTGTGTGTGTGTGTGTGTGTGTGTGTGTGTGTGTGTACACGTCACACTGTCTTTGCCCAGTGACCTATGGTGTACATGTGCAGTTTAACAATGGCGTTTCTTTGTTGGTTTTGTTGTTGTGTTTGTTTGGATGGTCTGTCTGTTGATAAGAGAATCCTGAAGTCACCCACCATCTGTTCCTCTATGTACAATATTACCTTGTGAAATTAAGTGAACCAGTATTTGGGGCACACATACTTACAATTGCCACTTCCTCTCGCTAGAGTGTCCTTTTATTAACATTGACTTGTTTCATCCATGGGGACCGGTTCTGGCTCGGGGTCTCCTTTGTCAGGTGTGACCGTCACTGCTGGTGCTTGGCTCCATTGCTCCTTGTTGGTCACTGGTTTCCATCGCGTCGGTCCTGTCTTTGCTGAGAAGGTGTTTCTACAGATAACAACAGCTTTTTGACCTTTAATCGGAGGGCAAAGTCCATTCACATGCAGTTAGGGCTGAGGAGGCTTGCTGCTTGGTGACTTTGTCTGTACTTTTCCCCATTGGTTTGGATTTCCTTTGCGCTCTTCTTCCCCTCTCACGTTCGAGGCTGTCTTGTTTGTTGTGACTCTGCTGGGTCGAATTCATGTGTCGCTGTCAGGAAATTTACTCTGCGGGATCTCACGACTGTATTGCTTCTTTCTCTCTTCTTAAAGATCTGTTTCTTTTATTTTATGTGTGAGTGTTTTGCCTGCATTTGTGCCATGTGCTGGCTGTGCCACGTGCCGGCTCTGCCCTTGGAGACCAGTTGTGGGATCCCTGGAATTGGAGCTACAGGTATTGCTGGTCCACATGTGGGTGCTGGGAACTGAACCCCGGTCCTCTGCCGGGGCAGCCAGTGCTCTTAACCTCTGAACCATCCCTCCAGCCCGAGTAGGAGTTACCTCAGAACATGTGCCGAGCTGGCTCTGTGGTCCGGAACGGCTTCAGTTTCTCTGTGTCTTGGAATTCCATGCTTTCCTGGCTCCTAGGGTTTCTGCTAAGTCTGGTGCCATCTGCATCTTGTCTTTTTTAGGTGAGCTGATGTTTTTCAGTTGCTGCTTTTGAAAAATGATTACTACATTTATTTATTTGGGGAGGAGCACACAAGTGTCCTGGCATGGAGCTGGTTCCTCTATGTACAATATTACCATGTAGGTCTCAGGGCTTCTTCATGTAAGCACTCAGGTCATGAGGCTTTATCCCAAGCACCATTGGGCAGGAGCCATCTTGCCTGCCCTCTTTAAGATTGTAACTTTGTATCTTTGTTTTGTAGTCTTAGCAGATTAACAGAAAGTGATGGGAAGCTTAGTTTCTGATCGTTAGGGCGCTTCAGAGTACCTCTTGATCTTTTGGATATTTGCTTTCCTAGATTTGAGAACTTTTCAGTTATAATTTTTTTTTTAATTTATTTATTTCCTATATGTACAGAAGAGGGCACCAGATCTCATTACAGAGGGTTGTGAGCCACCATGTGGTTGCTGGGAATTGAACTCAGGACCTCTGGAAGAGCAGTCAGTGCTCTTAACCTCTGAGCCATCTCTCCAGCCCCAGTTATAATTTTTTTAATGTATTTGGGTGTTTTGCCTGCACTGCCCATGCAGCCCAGAAGTTCCTCTGGAACCGGAGTTACAGACAGAGTAAGCTGCCATGCGGGTGCTGGGAACTGAACGTGGGTCCTCTAGAAGAGCAACTGCGTCGAGCTCTTTCCAGCCAAGGTGTCGATTGGCAGTTGCTTAACTCCAGGTTTGGAATTCAGCTACAATCTCACTGAATGGGTCTTTTTTTTTTTTTTTTGGTTTTTCAAGACAGGGTTTCTCTGTGGAGTTTTGTGCCTGTCCTGGAACTCACTCTGTACACCAGGCTGGCCTTGAACTCACAGAGATCCGCCCGCCTTTGCCTCCAGAGTCCTGGGACTAAAGGCGTGTGCCACCACCGCCCTGCTATGTATTTACTTCTAATCTCCACTCCTGTCCCGTGGATTCTTAAGTTTGGTCAGTTTGTGGTCATATTTGAGTTTTGTTGTTGTTTTAATTTTTTAAATTAATTATTTTAGGGAGTATATGTATATTGTATATTTGTACACATGTGCATGCAGGTAGGTGTGTGTGTATGTGTGTGTGTGTGCATTTCTGTTTGTTTTGTTTCTGATTTTTATTTTTCAAAATCTTTTTTTTTTTTTTTTTTGGTTTTTCGAGACAGGGTTTCTCTGTGTAGCTTTGCGCCTTTCCTGGAACTCACTTTGTAGACCAGGCTGGCCTTGAACTCACAGAGATCCGCCCGCCTCTGCCTCCCAAGTGCTGGGATTAAAGGCGGTGCATACCACCGCCCGGCCTCAAAATCTCTTTTTTTAATGATTCATTTATTTGTGTGCATAGGTATTCTGGTTTCATGTATGTCTGTGAGGACACTGGATCTCTTAGAGATGGAGTTACAGAAGAGGAGGAGGAATTGGGTCAGGTCTAAAGCAAACTCTATGTGAGCTGCTGTGTGGGTGCTGGGAATTGAACCTGGGTCCTTTGGAAGAAGGGCCCGTGTTCTGCACTGCTGCGCCATCTCTCCAGCCCCCAGAATCTCTTACTTGCTTGCTGAGTTCTTCATCCATGTCAGCAGCATTCCTCCCCCCCTCCCCCCCCCACCTTGAGTGACTTCCTTACTCACCCATTTACCTGCTCTCACCTCCTCTGAAGCATTGATCTTTTGTACAGGTAGACTTTTGAATTCTTTGACTGGCGTTTCAACCATTTCAGTATCTTTGAATTGTGTGACTGGGGAGTGATGATCCTTTGGAGCAGTCATGTTGCCTTGAATTTCATTGTGTGTCTGCCTGGTGATGTGCACGTCTGTTGGAATGGGTACCAGTTCTGGTTTAATTTGGGCGGCTTCCTAGTGAGCAGACATCTCTTTTGTGTATATATATATAATTTCTTTATTTGTATTTTGTGTTCATTGGTGTTTTGTGTGCATGTATGTCTGTGTGAGGGTGTCGTATTTCCTGGAACAGGTGTTACCATGAGCTGCCATGTGTGTGTGCTGGGAATTGAACCCAGGTCCTCTGGGAGAGCAGTCAGTGCTCTTAGCCGCTGAGCCATCTCTCCAGCCCAAGCAGATGTCTCTTAAGGACTCAATCTTGAGTACCATTCAAAAAGGAGAGAGGAAAAAAGAAAAAAGAACCACTGGTAGATAAGGTGTGGCTGTACCCTCCCCACTGAGGACCCAGGACTCGAGTCACAGCGGGCTGCAGCATGATTTTGCTGCAAGGCCTTCTGTTCCTCCGAGTTTGGGGCCACTCTTCCCCTCCTGTGGTCTCTGGTGTTCTTCTCGTTCTTCAGAATACCACTGTTACCCTGACTCTTCTCAGTCAGCCATACAAACACAGATTCTGATCTGCCCTTTGACCCCAGAACCCTTAGTAGTACCTTTTTTTTTTTTTTTTAAATTTAAACAGATAAGATAAAAAGTTACTTCTCAGCTGGGTGGTGGTGGCGCACTCCTTTAATCCCAGCACTCAGGAGGCAGAGGCAGGCAGATGTCTGAGTTCAAAGCCACCCTGGTCTACAGACAGCCAGGGCTACACAGAGAAGCCCTGTCTCGAAAAAACTTACTTCTCCAGCTGGATGTGGTGGCATAGGCTAGTAATCCACCACTCGGAAGACTGGGGCAGGATGATGGAGGCAGGATTCAAAACAACTTGAGTTACATAGACCCTGCATCAAAGGAAGAAAAGAGGGGAGCTGTGTCTCCCCAGAAACATGAAGTCACACTTGAAGGTGTTTTAGGCAGATGTTGCTCCCAGTGGCTGGTGTGTGCCCTCGGAAGGGCAGGGAGTGCCCGCAGCCGAGTGGTCTGTGTGTGGTCTGTTGCAGAGTGTGATGCAGAAGGCTGCATTCGAGGCTCTCCAGGTGAAGAAAGACCTGGCGCATCGGCAGATCAGGAACCAGGTGAGTGCGGCCGGCCGCCGGTCCTGCTCCCCTTACAGACCTGGCTCGCTGGGGCAGCAGTCAAAAGACTGGAGTCTGTGGCTGGCCAGCTCACGTGAGACCTCTCCCCGGGAGACCTTCTTTTCCCCAGCAGCCACCAGTGGGACTGGTGCCTTGTGCCTTGAACAGCGCTGGAGATGGCCTCATCCCAGAACCTGGCCAGAGCCTTCGGGCAAATACAGTGTGTGCTTCCATGATACATGGGCTGGAGAGAGGGCAGCTCTAACGTGGCTCTTTGGGAAACTGGCCAGCTCAGACTCCAGTACCCCCATCAGCTCAAAATGACTGAACAGTGGCTTCTGGGGGTGGGTTGGATTTCCCACTTGAGTGGGCAGCCAGGTCCTGAGATCTGCTGAGGAAGGACCCTGGCTTGGTAGGGGGAGGCCACCCTCCCATCCAGACTCCACTGCTGACCTGTGGAGGGCCTTGGGCAGGCCTGCTGGAGCTCGTGGGGCTGGGCCAGAGGCTCTGCAAGCTGTCAGGCTATGGGAGCGCACCTCGCTTCGTGTTCACATGAACCTCATGTTTGCATGCTCTCCTTTCTTTTTTCTTCTTGTTTGACCTACACCAGCTGGATTTTTTTTTATCTCCCTCTTTAATTTCAATCCCACATTGCCAGACATGAAGCTCATTCCTCTGACCAGGGATTGGTGGGGTCAGGGACTCAGGGTTGGAAGAGGCCACAGGGCCATTGATTGACTGACAGGGGTTAGAGAAGTCACTGGCTGTGGGGTCTGGGAGCATGTGGTGACCCCCAGATATTCTCAGTGTCCCTGTTCCACTTCAGACCTTGAGCTGGGCTATCCCAAGGAAACATTCTCTCACCACTCTGCTCTGTGTCCTTGGACAAGTTCCTTAACCACACTGAGCATCAGTTTCCTTACCTGGGGTGAAGGCAGTAATGCGCCCCAACAGCCAGAGTACCAATGAAATGAAGCCGCTGCAGCCCGGCAGCGCACAGGAGGTGATCGGCAAATAACCGCAGCTCATTACTGAGTCACGTTTGTTACCCGCTGGCCCCCCTGACGGCTACATGAAAGAAGCATGTTCATGCCACAGTCCACAGATAAAGGCCCCAGTGATGAGCAGGAAGGAAGCCCCTCCGTCTCACAGACTTTCACCCAGTGCCCGCTCTGAGATGGGCCCCGTGCTGGGCTCTCGGTCAGTGATGTTGACCGAGACATGTATGTCCATGTTCCAGGCCACCCAGGGCCGTGAAGTGGCAGCTTGTTTTTATTTCCTTTAGTGAGATCCCAAGGCGCACAAGCCCCACCGTGTCCGGGGCTACCCAGCCTCCTGGCAAAGGTCTCTGGTCCCCGCTTGGCCAGGCAGCAGCACCTCAGGGATCGTGTGATTGTCCATCAACGCCCCTGTCTCGTCTTCTGTTTAGATTAGGCTAATAGAGACTGAGTTACTGCAGCTGACACAGCTGGAGTTAAAGAGGAAATCCCTGGACACAGAGACGCTGCAGGTATGTGAGGCTCCAGCCAGACAACGCCCTCGCCCCATGCCCGACCCCAGAGCGGCTGCTCCTCAGGCCCAGGCACGGGGTTCCCCGCAGGCAGAGGGCAGGTCCAGCCCTGGGTCCAGCACGGCCCAGGATCAGAGGCAGCTTGTGCTGGGCAAGAGGGTCAGAGGAAGGTTTCACTGCCAGGCCTGATGGGCACCATCACCATCTCTGCATTCCCTTCTCTGGGCTGGTGGCTGTGTGGTCAGGCGGGCTTCAGGTCCCACTCTCTGGGCTGATAGTCCCTGTTGGGGGAGCTGGGGTATCTCAAGAGCCTGTGAGCAGAAGCTGGCTGCTCACAGACCCCCGGGGGCAGCGCGGATTGGCACATAGCAGTCTGCACTGGACACTGGGACCTGGCTGTGGCTCACACACAGCCTGGCCATACAGCCTTGGCACATGGAGGAAAGGGGTCCCCTTCTCCCTTCCCTGAACCTCATTCTCCCCAGACGCACACAGGAACAGGGTAGGATGGCATGTGAACACATGCTCACGCCGGGCTTCCACCTGCCACTGTCTGTGCCCAGGAGAAGAGTCTAAGTTGACCCACAGCCTCCCAGAACTGAGGGTCCCGCTGCCCTAGGTGGCCTTGGACCTGTCATTATTTCCACTGGCCCCTCGTAAACCCCTCTCTAAGGTGGGAGCCATTTTTCATGGCTGGCCTGTGTCATCAGCCCATCAGAGAATGTTCTGGGTGAGCCCGATGGTTTTCACAGATGAGGAGCTGGGCTGCGCAGGGAAGCGGCCACCACTCTTGGTCCTTGCCGGTTTGAGTCACAGGGCTATCACTGTTGGGACCTCCGTGGGGTTTCTGAGGACAAAAACAGGGCAGTTGGCACGTGTCTCCCTGTGTGGCAGCCTCCTCATCTGTGTATGGTGCTCCCCCTGTGTATGGTGCCCCCTCCTCCTCTGTGTATGGTGCCCCCCTCCTCATCTGTGTGTGGTACCCCCCTCCTCATCTGTGTATGGTGCTCCCCTCCTCTGTGT